GTACCATACGGGCCCAAATGACTAGAGTGGGGTTGTGCAGTACTTGAGCACCGCATTCAGACATGACAGGAGTAAGGTAATAAACCCTATTTACTTCATGGACAATCTTGCAAGACTAAGAAATGGAAGACGGAGGTTTGGGGTACTGGGCCAGCTTTTTACGGGTATTTGGACCCTCAAGCTACGCATCAAAGGGAAATCACCTCGTAGTGTTGGGGCAATCTCCCTTCATGCCTAAAAGGGAAACCACCTCATGTAATGTTGGTCGTTTTTGAAGGGTGGCTTTTGAGGGAGCAGGTAAATACTTTTCTCTAAGGGTTGATTCCCCATTCTTTCCAACCATCGTTCTTTTCAAAAACCGGCCGTCTCGCTGGGTTTCCGGAGGTTTTCTAGAAAGAAGCATCCCTGGAAAGAATGGGGAAGGCAGCGCTAGATTCTCAACCGGCTTTCTTTAACACGGCGTTCTGAACCTCGCGAGGACCAGCAGAAGCTAATGCAGATGTCGGACGACGACCGCCGTGACGAGATCATGAGCCGATTGGGCCCGGGACCTCAGGCCCAAAGGCGGCATCGGATACCCTTGAGGTTCCCTGTGTGTTTTTATTATTTTTTGGCCACCCTCTTGTTACGTCCTCGCTTGCGCTTGCCTTGGTTTGTGGCCCCTTTCTGGGTTTCATTGTGGTGTCCCTGTTTTGGCTTCCCTGTTCCCCTTGTTTCTTGCCTTTCTTCAGGAGAGACCCTCGGGCCCGGTCTCTTAAGCCCGGCACGAGGTACCTCTGGGCTGGTGGCACAGTACGGGGCCCTCAGCAAGGAGCGGCTTCAACCTCCAAACACCCTGGAACGGAGTCTCTTGGATATGGAACCAACGGGGCAGCGTCCCTCTGGTTTTTCCTTTTTCGAAGTTTCGATCCAGCATGACATACTGTGGTTTGTTTGTATGTAAGTATGCATGTACGCCCGAAAGCAAGTTGAATATTAAAGGCAAGCTCATGATTAAAGCAGCATGTTCAATCAAATATAGAACAAACTGCCCCCAAAAACAGTTTTGAGAACGCTTGAGATGTTCACTTTTATAGGTCCTTTGAACAGCCCCCCCCCCCCCCGAACTCTCCATGGGCCTAACTATGACCCATACTTTTGGGGATATGCCCAGTTCAGTGACCCTGAACAAGTTTTTTCCTCGTTTGCCAGGCGCTCACTCTGCGGCAGACGTTTGAACGGCAGTGGCCATGGAATCTTTCGAACTCCTGCCCAACGACGTGGGAAGGGAGGGGTTGGGATAGCAGGGACTGCTCTTGCATGTTGCTTAGTGTTGTAGTTGTTTGGTGGGGCTGCAAAAGTTAGGGTTTTGGCCATCAAGGTTTGGGAACATTCTTGCCTTCCCACAACCCTGCCTCTAAGCGTCGAATGAAAAGCCAGTTTTTGGTTGATCTGCTTCATTTGTGCCAGACTCCCAAGCAGGACAACCCCCCCCCGCCACCCCAACAAAAAGAACGATGGCTGTCTTTTGCTTCCCAACACAAGCTCAAAGAGGTACCTCCAACAAGCAGTGGATCATCATAAACCGCTCAGGTGTACCCAACAAGCCATCAAAAACCGCCCCCGGTAGAGTTCCAGGTTGCCTGCTATCGTGCCTGGATCCGTTGCGAACGGTTGCGAACCGCCTGCGCCAGGAGGATCCTGAAGTCAAGGCGATCGGAGACAAGATGGCCACTTGGCCCATTCGGCATTCTCCACAGCGACATGAGGTTCTTTGGGGCCATGTAAGCCAAAGAGGGTATAGAACACGTCGCCATGCCTTCTATGTCAGAAAAAAAAAAAAGGTGCCAGTTTTGGGGTGAGTTCAAGATGAAGCCAAAGGGAAACCCACAATTTGCAGGGCCCAGCCTATTTAGACACATGCCTATTTGTGAAATTGCCAACTGAAGGCACGAAACTGGCTGGGGCCTTCCCAGGCTTGCATTTTGATAGTTCCGCAAGGTAGACTCAAACCCAGTTCCGTTTTGTTGGATAAGACAGCTGCTAGTTTTTAAGTGTAATCTAAAGCTGCTGCATGGTTTTCAGTATCCATTTCAAGCATGGCATTGAGATTCGTGCCAATGTCATTGCCTCAGAAGATGACAGGAAGCGTTGCCCGTTCAGACGTGGAGTTTTAGTGAACCCTTCTTGGTTGTTGTTAAGGGGAAATCAAAAGCAAAACCACCATTTTGTGGGTTTCCTCGTTTTAAGACAACCCCATTAACAGAGGCACAGTGGGTTCATTGGCTTGAAGAAGGGTTGTGGAGACTTAAGGTATGGGGTGCTGAACTACTTACATGTGGCAACACACACATATATTATATATATTATACATGTTTTCGAGCCCCTCCAAGAGACAGGCCCAGTAGAATAAGGCGGCATAGTTTGACCCATGGGTCCGGGGGGTTTGTTCTCGGGCGAGCGGCAATTAGGCGCCTTTCATCGCCAAGTTTGTGTCGATCCTCGAGAGGAAGGCCGGAGCGTTTCTGGGGCGATTCTAGGGGTGGATTCCCGCCGCTCAACCATCGTTCTTTTCAAAACCCGGCCGTTTTTTTTGGGTTTTGGATGGTTTCCTGCACGGGGCAGGTTTCCTTGGAAAGAATGGGGGAAGGGTTTCCTAGGGCTATGGCCCTTCTTTTCGCTGAGAGCACCCAAACCAAAGCTACCCGGGGTATCAGGATTGTTTTCCCGCTTTGCCCCGCGTCCCCGTAGTGGTTGGGTAGTTCTTTTGTGCGCGCCGCGAGCTGCCCAAATGCCAGGTGTCGACACAGACGGAAGCGCTCGGCAAAACTGTGGATTATGCCCTGCTGGCTGTGGTGGCCGCAACTTTGGCTGAAGTTCAGCCAGGATGTACCTTTGAGTTTGACTGCTATTGGGTTGGATCTTTAGACTTTAACTTTTTGGGAAATAAAGGTGTTTTCCACTAAACCCCCAAAAAGTAACTTTTTTGCATGGGGGTCAACAGCAATCAAGTGAGGGAATGACTTTTGGTCCGGAAGTCCCGAATGCTCAGAGCCCACCCTTTCCAAGAAATTTGAAGGGCGGAAGGTTCCCAAAGTCTTGTCCAAACTTGCACAGCAGGCCAGGATTGGTTGCCGGATTGTTTTATTGTTCTTTCATCAACGGATTGGTAGTCCAACTATTCAGTGGGCACTATTCAGTGGGCTTCTGTGAGTCTTTGATTCTCACAAAGTCCCAACCTGCTGTTCGCTGGTCGGTTTGAGCCGGCACCATGCTCCATTCAACCACTAATTCAATCGCCCGCTGCCAATCCCATTGCATGATCGATGAAGACTGGTCAAGGCCCTCCACTTTGGCTTTTGGGCCATTTCTTGGAAATTGAGTTTGAGAAATGTGCAGGGGAGTCTTTTTCCACCTTAGTAGAAAGGGCTTTGTTCCACTTGTAAGACATGTTTGGAAGGAAATTGGCTCAACCCTCATATGTATCATGGTCAAGACCCTTGTACTTGGTGGTGGCAAGGGCGCAGGAGTTGGAGTTAGACAATGTTCATGTTTAGCGGCAAGAGACATGCTTGCGTTTTGCTAGCATCCAGGGCTCCCACACCCTCGCCTGCATTTCGAATCATGGTCATGGTTGTTGTTGGGAAACATTTCACATGTTTGCTTATATTGTGGTTTAGTGGTTGAAATCCAACCATTTCTCTGCTAGACATTATATATTGTTGCTCCCCAAACCCAACGTCAACGAAGTAGGCAGGCCTTGACACCGATTTCTGGAGGTCGTCATTTTGGTGGCCCTTAGCTTTGCTGGCGTGATCAAGATCCCGGATCCCACCTGGTGAGAGGGTCCTGTCGCGTCCAACGCTGCGTCTCACTGGTGCTTGTAGGAAACATGCAAACATGGGAACCACCAACCCTGTCCAGGAGACCATATGCATAGGTGATGTGAACATATTCTTGGCACTGTTGACAATGTTGACAATCTATTCCCGTGAAGTACCTAAGGGTCCACATATCTTCTAAGGAGGTACTTCAAGCCCTTTTAGCCACAGGACTTGCTCTTTTGGAGACCATTTTGGGGTGAAGAAAGCGGTTTGGACTACTCCACTCAGGACGTGATATCATAGTTAACCTGGATGTTGGGTCTGTGGTAGGATTCCCATGTCCTCAAGTTTTAGCTGCGACTCAGCCGATTTTCTGGGTGCCAATCCGATGCCAGCTTTTCAGCGAAGCTTTCCGAAACGGAAGGCGGAGGCGAAGCACGATCGTGCCTCAATAGATGTTCGCAAGCGGCCTGGTGGATTCATATGGGCGTCCCATTTTGGAGGGGGAATAAGGACCTGGAATTGTTAGATACTGGGTGGTGCTGTTGCTTCCTGGTTGTTTTGGCACCCAAACGCTTTAGACATAAAAGGCTTGCGCGTGCTACCTGGCGTGTCAAGATCATTTTTTCAGCTGCCCAGATCCGACCTTGTAACCTTTTGGTTTTCCTGATGTGGTCCGAATTTCGTCGAGGTTCCAAAAGGAATCTGGTCGATTTCCAAGTCCTTTGGGCAACCTCGTGTTGGTGAATCTATTGGAGGGCATCCGTTACTTTAGGTTAGGGGAACCTGTTGTATGGCCCACTCAGAGCCTACTTCAGGTGGGAGGTGAGCCATGAAAGCCGATTCCGGTAGGTGAAGTTTAGGAAGGGCCAGTCTTCAATGCTCTTGGCGTGTTGTTTTGTGCGTTTGCTTATGTGTTAACATTTTGTTGTCATGTTTAGTCTTGGTGGGTGGCTAGACAAAGACAAAGCGTGTTGCCAACCATAAACAGTTGTGGAGTTCCGCCCAAAACAAGTTCTGTGGGACAAGTGGCAGCATGGACCAACACCTGCGTAACCCCTCCTGTTTGATTTTGAGCCACACCCATGTGTGTGCTTTGTGTTTGTTTGTTTGAACAAAAAGACGCAAACCATGAGGATCTTTCCATTTACCAGGGTGCCACTTTGGGTACCTATTGACAACAGCCATATGAGTCAGGTGGTGATCAACAACACCATGCCCTTCTTCAAGATGCTCTTTGCCCAGCTGATTTTGGGCGAGAAGGTGGGCAAGCAGCGCGGATCTCGGAGCTCGAATCTCCATGAGTCTCTAGCAACACGATGTTCGCGCACAGGGTTGGTACCCTTGAAGAATGGTGAAGTGGGGTTGAAATGCCTGCGTAGATGCCAAGGGAGCCTAATCTGATTTTGTTTGTGTACCCCAGAGGGTCAAGAAAAGGTTTTGGCTTGGCCCGTCCCCTTGGTAGCAAGCCATGGAAAAGTTAGGCTGAAATTAGGTTCTACCCCTCTTCTACCCGTCCAAAGGTCTCATTTTGGGGGGACAGGGGTAATCTGTTTTTGGGGGGACAGGGGTTCGGGAGTGATGGGGAGTGATGGGGAGCTATGGTGAGTGGGAAGCGGGCAGGATCCGAAGTAATGCGGGTTCCCCCAGCTTGTTTGTTCAGTTGGCTTATGTGTAACTTTTGATTGGCAGGCTTCATGAGTTGAGCCCGTGGCCCACGCAGTCAACATATTGCAGGTCAGGAATTTGGCACATCCAACTAACCCTCATATACCTCAAAAGTGGCTGGTGGACATGAGCACTGGCATACAAGTTGAAACCGTCAACCGGAATTTCTACAGGACACTTGCCAAGCACCCACCAAACACCAGGTTTTTCTTTCGGATTTCCCGTGGCTAGCGTCGTGGATCATGGTTTGTCCAGACACATTGGGAAGCTTTGGTCCGACAGATTTGGGATCGACCGAGGCGTTGGTTGGCCTCTCTGGCCGGGTTCATCGGCTGCTTGCGCCTTGGAATTCAAGGCGAGTGGAGTAAAGTCTCCCATTGGATGGTCAATTCTGTGTTTGGTTTCCCGTTTTGTCTGGGATTCTTTGTTTGTTTTGTTGCCTTGTGTTTCAAAATCTGACTAGTTTGTGGTTTGTGTGTTGTTTCCTGTTTGGGGGTCCGTTCTGCTGACAAACGCTTTATGTTGGTTGGTTTCATGTTGGAACGCTTTCTGAAGCCGGATAAGTGGGGTGTTTCTATGAGTTGGCTTCCTGTTTTGGCAACAAGCAGGGTGGGCTCATAAATAAAACGTTTCTACGCCACCGTCAACATATGTTGATTCCGCATTCACATGGACGTGAGGCGGTTAAGGGTTCCGTCCCTTGTTGTGTCTTTTGCGGGAAGTGGCTCATCTTCCATGTCCCTCCCAAAACGATCAGACACTGATTTCCCACAAGAAGCAAGGTCAGTTTATCTTCAAACGCCAACCAAAAGAGGGTTCGTGTCCAACCTGGGGGAACTCATCGGGCGCTCAATTGCCCAAGCCCGGTTTCGGCTGCAAGAGCGTGCGTTCTGCAGGGCGATGCTTCTTTTTGGTTCACCCATCCTTTAGCCGCTAGCCAAGAAACCCACGAAGGGTAGGAGCTGCCCACCCACCCGAAGAAAACAATGGGACTAATAGTCTGCGAGTTTCTCCAACCGTGACACCCTCCCAAAAAAGACAAGCAGTTTCTTACTTTGCCCAGACGCCCCTGTTCAATCCATTTGACTCCCACCATGCCCTCTGGATTCCTGAGGATTGTGTTCAACCCCACGGCTGCCACCTTCCAGCCGCAGTCTTTAGTGTTGATCCTCTCCGCGTGCTGCTTCGCAACTCGGCGCGGCGATACCGAGGAAAGAGACTGCCGCTCTATGGTCCTGTTGGTTGAGACATGGCTGTGGGTCAAAACCAATGCTACCACTTTTGGCGTAGGTGAATTCACCACCCGTTTTAGAACCTATTTTAGTGGGGATTGAATCGCATGTTCACTGGGGGCTAACCGATTTGGATTTGACCCATGGGACCAGCTCTAAACTTCCCACGGGACTGAGGGCGCTCACGAAGTTCCCATGTCCTCCTGGGGGAAGCCTGTGACAGTGTGTGCCTCTACCGGGAGTTCGAGTTACCAGAGAACGGTCATCAAACCATGCACAGAGGTTGCAAAGCGACACTTGTTGCTGGGGTCTCCTTGGAAAACACACAAATATTTCAAGGCTGGCTAAATATGACATTACATATCACTCATGGGGTCTCCGCAGACAAACACAGATACTGCCAGGTTAGCTCAATGTGATGTTACATACTAGCATTGCCTTATGGGCATCCTCAAGAAACCTTATGCAAGTAAGGTCCGGCAGAGCCGGGGGGCGGAAGTTTCAAAGCAGTGAACAACTATAGTTTGGAGAACTGTCCTTGGCCCCTTGCTTCTCTTTCTCTCTCTCTTTTTCTCTCTTTCTCTCTTTCTCTCTTTCTCTTTCTCTTTCTCTTTCTGTTTCTCTGTCTCTTTCTCTCTCTTTCTATCTATCTCTCTAGCTATCTCTACATCTGTTTATTGATCTATCTATCTACCCATCTTTCTCTGCACTTAAAAGTTGCGATGTTCAATCCCCGAAAGTTGACTTCGCGTACTACTTTCGTACTTAAAAGTTGCGATTTTCGAGCCCCAGCTGCGAAACTGGACTTCACGTACTACTTTCGTAGTTAAAAGTTGCGATTTTCGAGCCCCAGCTACGAAAGTGGACTTCGCGTACTACTTTCGTACTAAAAAGTCGCGATTTTCGAGCCCCAGCTGCGAAAGTGGACTTTGCGTACTACTTTCGTACTTAAAAGTTGCGATTTTCAAGCCCCGGCTGCGAAAGTGGACTTTGCGCACTACTTTCGTACTTAAAAGTTGCGATTTTCAAGCCCCAGCTGCGAAAGTTGACTTCGCGTACTACTTTCGTACTTAAAAGTTGCGATTTATCTATAGATCTACCTATCTATCTACCTCTCTATCTCCTATCTATCTATCTCCCTCTATCTATCTAGCTAGTTATTTGTCTATCTATCTACAAATCTATCTATCTCTGTCTATCTCTGTTTCTCTATCTCTTTCTATCTATTTCTCTAGCTATCTCTATATCTGTTTATTGATCTATCTATCTACCCATCTTTCTCTGCACTTAAAAGTTGCGATGTTCAATCCCCAAAAGTTGACTTCGCGTACTACTTTCGTACTTAAAAGTTGCGATTTTCGAGCCCCAGCTGCGAAAGTGGACTTTGCGTACTACTTTCGTACTTAAAAGTTGCGATTTTCAAGCCCCGGCTGCGAAAGTGGACTTTGCGCACTACTTTCGTACTTAAAAGTTGCGATTTTCAAGCCCCAGCTGCGAAAGTTGACTTCGCGTACTACTTTCGTACTTAAAAGTTGCGATTTATCTATAGATCTACCTATCTATCTACCTCTCTATCTCCTATCTATCTATCTACCTCTCTATTTATTTATCTCTCTATCTCTTTATCTATCTAGCTAGTTATTTGTCTATCTATCTACAAATCTATCTATCTCTGTCTATCTCTGTTTCTCTATCTCTTTCTATCTATTTCTCTAGCTATCTCTATATCTGTTTATTGATCTATCTATCTACCCATCTTTCTCTGCACTTAAAAGTTGCGATGTTCAATCCCCGAAAGTTGACTTCGCGTACTACTTTCGTACTTAAAAGTTGCGATTTTCGAGCCCCAGCTGCGAAACTGGACTTCACGTACTACTTTCGTAGTTAAAAGTTGCGATTTTCGAGCCCCAGCTACGAAAGTGGACTTCGCGTACTACTTTCGTACTAAAAAGTCGCGATTTTCGAGCCCCAGCTGCGAAAGTGGACTTTGCGTACTACTTTCGTACTTAAAAGTTGCGATTTTCAAGCCCCGGCTGCGAAAGTGGACTTTGCGCACTACTTTCGTACTTAAAAGTTGCGATTTTCAAGCCCCAGCTGCGAAAGTTGACTTCGCGTACTACTTTCGTACTTAAAAGTTGCGATTTTCGAGCCCCGGCTGCTCAAATCTGTGCTTGACCTTGCTAAAGCGCTGCGCCTGCCACAAAATCTGTACTTGACCTTGCGAAAGTGCTGCGCGTGCCACGAATTTTGCACTTGACCTTGCGAAAGTGCTGCGCCTGCCACAAATTCTGTACTTGACCTTGCGAAAGTGATGCGCCTGCCACGAATTTTGTACTTGACCTTGCGAAAGTGCTGCGCCTGCCACGAATTTGGCACTTGACCTTGCGAAAGTGCTGCGCCTGCCACGAAATCTATACTTGACCTTGCGAAAGTGCTGCGCCTGCCACGAAATCTATACTTGACCTTGCGAAAGTGCTGCGCCTGCCACGAAATCTACACTTGACCTTGGGAAAGTGCTGCGCCTGCCACGAAATCTACACTTCACCTTGCGAAAGTGCTGCGCCTGCCACGAAATCTATACTTGACCTTGCGAAAGTGCTGCGCCTGTCACGAAATCTACACTTGACCTTGCGAAAGTGCTGCGCCTGCCACGCAATTCAAACCTTGCGAAACCTTCGCGCGGCCGTGCCAATGGTCCCGTCTCCGAGACCGTTCCGAACCCGTTCCGCACCCGCCTCCGTACAGGCGTCGCAGCCGAGGTGGTTTGCGCACTGTCCGGAAGCCCAATTCACGCACAGCGCCAACGTTTTCTGCATCTTGCCATCCCCCAGCTCGCAGAGAGTGCTTGCGAAAGTGCTGCGCCTGCCACGAAATCTATACTTGACCTTGCGAAAGTGCTGCGCCTGCACGAAATCTACACTTGACCTTGCGAAAGTGCTGCGCCTGCCACGCAATTCAAACCTTGCGAAACCTTCGCGCGGCCGTGCCAATGGTCCCGTCTCCGAGACCGTTCCGAACCCGTTCCGCACCCGCCTCCGTACAGGCGTCGCAGCCGAGGTGGTTTGCGCACTGTCCGGAAGCCCAATTCACGCACAGCGCCAACGTTTTCTGCATCTTGCCATCCCCCAGCTCGCAGAGAGTGCTTGCGAAAGTGCTGCGCCTGCCACGAAATCTATACTTGACCTTGCGAAAGTGCTGCGCCTGTCACGAAATCTACACTTGACCTTGCGAAAGTGCTGCGCCTGCCACGCAATTCAAACCTTGCGAAACCTTCGCGCGGCCGTGCCAATGGTCCCGTCTCCGAGACCGTTCCGAACCCGTTCCGCACCCGCCTCCGTACAGGCGTCGCAGCCGAGGTGGTTTGCGCACTGTCCGGAAGCCCAATTCACGCACAGCGCCAACGTTTTCTGCATCTTGCCATCCCCCAGCTCGCAGAGAGTGCTTGCGAAAGTGCTGCGCCTGCCACGAAATCGATACTTGAGAAAGCTATCTATGTGTTAAGCTGGCTATATGTCAAAGCTATCTATCTGTCATGCAAGCCTATTGGAAAGCTATCTATCTGTCAAGCTAGCTATATGTCAAAGCTATCTATTTGTCATGTCAAAGCTATCTATTTGTCATGCAAGCCTATTGGAAAGCTATCTATCTGTCAAGCTAGCTATATGTCAAAGCTATCTATTTGTCATGCAAGCCTATTGGAAAGCTATCTATCTGTCAAGCTAGCTATATGTCAAAGCTATCTATTTGTCATGCAAGCCTATTGGAAAGCTATCTATCTGTCAAGCTAGCTATATGTCAAAGCTATCTATTTGTCATGCTAGCTACCTGTCATAGCTATATGTCAAAGCAGCTAGCTCATTTAGTTCCAGTACTACGGAAGTTTCTTGTTAAACTTCCTTTGATCACATACTCCGAACATGTTTTGTTCATTCCGCGTGCGAGCGATAAGCTGCGGAAGGCAGACAGGTGCCGAGGTTTAGCACGGAAGTCAAGATGTTCAAGACTACATGCATCACCAAGGATGAACACTGAAGCCAGCAGGTCAAGACACAATTCAGCTGAAGTCAGTAAATTGTTTCTACAGTCAATGAGTGCCTGTATTTTAGTCCAGGTACCCGCTGCTCGATTTAAGAGTAACTGTCGCCCTGGTAGACTAGAGGCATCCAAAGGCACCAAAGTTCCTTACAAACAAGAGTTACGAACATGTCATCGACCGTGCTCATATATGCTCATATGGTCTGTCCATGTTGAAGACCATGTTTGGGGTTGTTCACACGTAAACCAAAAGGTTTTGATACCCGGTTGACAATACTTCCCCATGTTTGGCAAGGGCCCCTGGAATGGCGCGTTCCCAAACAGACCCTAGAATCGAGCCTGACAGGCGCTAGAAATACTGTTTGTTCCATGGCTTCCCCATGAATCTTTGATCGGGAGGCGGTTCGCTTTGTGAAGACTCCAACGGGTTCTAAAAGATGTTCCAGCTTGATGACCGTTCTCATCATCATCATCATCATCATCATCATCATCATCATCATCATCATCATCATCATCATCGTGTTCATCATCATCGTGTTCATCATCACGTTCATCACGTTCATCATGTTCATCATTTTCATCATCATTCTCACCGCACGGAATTGCCCATTCGTAACACCTCCGAAAGGAACCCAATTCGTTTTGGCATTCCGATCCGAGGCCATGCTTGACATCTTTAACAAGAAGTACACCGCCTCAGAGACCGTCGCTTCACTGCGATTCTCCCGGTTCGGTTCGGTGGGGCTCTTGGCTTTCAACCCAACAGGCTTTCTTTGTTCGACCGGGGTCACTGAACAACTGGATGGGAGTTGTGTGGTTCTAAGGTCCAAGGATATTGATGAGGGTTTGTGTTGGTTCTCAGAATTTGCTTTGCAGATGTTCTTTTTTGCTTTGTATCCACTTTGAGCTTTATTGGGGCAGCAGCCCAGTTGTTCCGCGCCCGTTTTCCCTTTCCGTGGGTTCCCAAATCTAAACGGAAGCAACCAGCCAAAAGCCATGGTTCCAGCCAAACGTTTCTTCCGAATAGGCCACCTGTTGAAACGTGGTTAAGTTTTGGGCCGACAGGCAAAGGTCCGAGCTTCCACTGAGACTTTCGGAGGTGTGATGCACGTTTGTTGAGTTTGTTTTGGGTATTTATCCTGGAGGCCCAATTGATACAGACAAAAAGTGCTCAATTGCATTTTCGGAGTTCGAACGTTTTTTTCTGCCCGATTGGAAACGAACAGTTTTGAAGACGGCTTGGCCCGAAATGCGCACCGCGTTTCGAGCGCAATTCGGCGCAACTTCGGGCGCAATTTCGCGCAACTCGGGCGCAAATCCGCGCAACCGAGCGCAATTTTAACAACTGCCCAAATTCTGGTCACCACACTAGCGCCAAGTCGCTGTCTCCCAGAAACATTTCGGGCACTTTTTGCGCCAAAAACATTCAAGCACAAATTTCTGTATCAATTGGGCCTCCAGGATAGGTTGAAGCTTCGATCCCTTCCAAAGAGCTAACAGCTTTTGCCGTTGTTTTTTTTCCGAAAATGCCGAACTCTTTCTGGTGACTTCATGTGTCGCAGATTTCTTTGCTTGGTTCTAGCCCACTCGCTTTTTCGGGACAAACCAACGGCAACGAGCAACGCAAAGAGGCCAAACGAAGACAATGTCTTTTGCTCCTCTTTTGAGATAGCATGTACTGATAAACCACACAGGACCAGAACAGCAGGTGTTGTCACAGACCATTTCTTTCCAAGGCTTCTGATTGCAGTCGTTGGGATCAAACGCTCTCATATGTGTGGTGTTGGATCAGGGTAAGGAACCCTGAGAAACCGGGGGCTCAGTTGCCGAGACTTGCCGAGTTTGTTGGGCGATCTCCCGTTCAAATTGGCCAAAAGCTCTTTTTGTTGCGGACAACGACCCTAAAGACCCCCTGAATACAAATGGATATTGCAACCCAAATTCATGGGATGCAATATGTGCATGTCCTTGTTTTGGGGTACGCCCTTTTCTTGTGGTTTTGAAGGAACGCCGGACGAAAAGGCAGCATTTCTTTTGTGGGGGGGTCCAAATCCAATTAGGACACCTCCCAAAAGGCGGCTGTCCTTTTGGCTTCTCTTTTGCACTACAAAAAGAAAGGTGCCAAATCTAAAAAAAGACACCCCCTAGGTGATTTTTGCAAACGGACACCCCCCCCCATTCCAAGCAAACAGTGGTTGTCCTTTTACTTCCCTTTAAAACACCGGCCAACAATGGTTTCCAAATCCAAAAACGACACACCCAGACCAACCATCAACGGCGCCCCCCAAAAGGCGGTTGTCCTTTTGGCCTCCCTTTAAAAATCCGGCCAACAATGGTGTCCAAAATTGTAGGGCCTTTTTTTGTAGTTTTTCCATTTGACAACGAAGAACAATCCATTTGAAAGAACCAGCCAACAATGGTTTCCCAATCCAACTAGGGCACCCCCCAAGAGGCGGTTGTCTTTTTGGCTTCCCTTTGAAACCACCAAATATGGTTTCCCAAAAACGACACGCCCAGATCAGCCCTCAAGGGCATCCCCGCAAATGGCGGTTGTAGGGCCTTTCTTGGCAGTTTTTCCCTTTGAACTCCATCTGAAAAAAATAACGCCAGTTCCCAGATCGACCCTCAAGGGAGGGCTTCCCTTAGGTCACCTCTATGCTCTTCTACGGCTCTTTGGCCACCGCGGCCATCTCGGCCCGGAAGCCCAGAGAACCCCCGCGCCAAGATCTGGGGGGGGGGGTGTGGCAGGGAAGATTACGTACAATGTGCCGCCGAGCGCGTTCAAGAGCAGAACGGCTCATTGTTGCACATGGACTCTTTTGGTGCAATCCCAAGAGTAGAAAGGAATGTCTTGGCATGCCCCACCCTGAAAGAACCAGCTAGTTTGTAGTAATAGAAAAAAGGGTGAGGGGTGATGAAGACCAGATGAACATCCTCTCTTTGGTTGTGAGAGAGTGTGATAAAAGCACACGGTATACCTTCGTGAAGTAGTATTAATAGAAACAAATAATGATGTCCTCCTATCTATCACTTCCATATTTTTTCTAAATTAAACGTTTGCTGGCTCACCAAGATAGAGCATGGAAATGGAAAGAGGAAAATGTTAATCAAATGATTAAAGCCACAGTAACAGATAACAGAGTTAGAGAAGATCGAATGTCAGTGAGGAAGAAGTAAATAGTAAACAAATGCTGGTCAAATAAACATAAAAGGAAAGAACAATCAGAGAGATATAAAAAAGGGTCTGGAGACGTAGCCTGTCCGTGAGACGTCACTTAAGCAATAATAACAGTTAAGCGTCTCTTCATTCATCACTCTATTTGGACAGGCAATATTCTGATGAGAAAACTATTAACTTCCTTCGGTCACTTCTAGCGATGAACATGATTTTATTAATGAAGATTGATTCAGTAGGATTTGACAAGTATTAGCTTGGGAGGCAAAAGGAAACCCCTTAAAAAGAGAAGGTGAGAAATACACCCCAATCGATACAAATTAGTTAACATTACTCATGAGATTCTAGTAAATAAATAGCCTTTCGTAAATAGTGTTCCGTCCTTCTCCAGCAACTTTGAACTATTAATATCCTTTTCATTCTCACCTAAAACTCAAGAATATTGCACATATCTAATGATACAATAGGAAGTGAGTGAGAGATTTTGCAAGGAAATTCTAATAGAACAAAAGCAGAAAGAAGATACAACTAAATAAACTCCATGAGTAAAGACCAACAGCCTCTTCAGAGTCAAGCAAACTATCTATGGTTATAATTTGTGTTTATTCTTCATCATGCACTAATATCCTCTCCAATATGATTGTGTAAATGGGATGAAGTGGTCACGGGGTGAATTTAAAGGCAATAATTACAGAATCGTTGTAATCTCATAGCTTACTGCGTGTTATTATCTTATTGCGTTTTCTATCATATCCATCATTGTCCACTCTAGGTTTTTCACTGTTTTGGAGAGGGTTCTTGATGGACAAGAATAATGTGTCTCCCAATAAACAGTTTCATTTATTAACATTCTTTATTACTTTCATGTTCTTGGTTCTGTCATTTGCCTATTGATTTATTTATTTCTGTATCTATTATGTTTCTTCATAGGCCTTTTTCGTAATTCTTACTAGTCCTGATAGCCGCGAAAGACGGGAGAGCAGAAGGAGTGTTAGCCAGTTCCTCTTCTTCATATTTGTTATTACCCCCCGGGTTTTTTCCCCCATCCAGATGCCTCCAACGTTTACAATGCGAGAGAGAGAAAGAGAGATTGGGAAGATAGATGAACAAGTAGAAAGGTTGCAAAGTGAACAAGTACATGAGAATGCAACCAGCAGATGAGAGACTATGAACCTATTCTTGGTAATGATTAACTTTCTGTTCCAACCATCGTGATTTTCTTTACATCGCCAATTTTTTCAACCTCACACCCAGAAGCATTTCTATACTTCTCAGATAATATTGTAAATGGAAGACAACAAAGATAGACATTCAAGCAATAAATGGGATGGTAAACCGAAAGGCAATGATCTTAATAACGACATGTCCATCCACAAATGTTTCCTGGATGAAGTGGAAGAGATAGAAAGGGAAGGATACAAGCTCTTGGGACCACAAACCAACCTCTCTTCCTCCGTGACTTGGACAAGGAAAGGACGTCAACGATGAGAAGAACCCAGTCCTTACACCATCCTATGATCTAAAACTCTATTATTGTCCTTTCATTTCCAGAAGATTATTAGCAAAAGAGAGAGACCGCTAGCATTTGCTATTAAAAAGGTTTTAAGGATTCTGTAGTCAAATCTTTATGGGTTGAAGATGTTGGTGGGTGACATACATGGGAAAATCAGGATGCGATCGGAGGAAAAGAAAGAATCACGTTACTTCTGCTCACCCTCTCCTATCTTCTCTTCTTCTTCTTCTTCTTCTTCCCAAGCATCACACGGCATAAGATTAACAGCAGCCTATGCTTGAGGAAGAAGTCAAGAGAGGCCTCTCACTTCCCATTTTCAATCTTCAATTTCATCAAAAGGAAAGAAAGAAGTGATAGAAAGACATGGTAAGTGCCCATCCAATTCGTTATCTTCAATTAGTATTGATGGGCGCTTACCTCCTTGCCAGACGCTTTACTTCTTCATTTCCAAAACATGGCAATGTAAAAGACAAGGCAAGGAAAATGACAAGCGTTGGCTGGGCCGGGAAAGGAAAGGTCATCTTCTTCCATCTGTGTTTTTACAGAAAGAAGCGGGTTGTGGAAAGTGGCTTTCTTTTTCTACAAATAAACCAAAAATAAAGCCAATACCCCCTTCCTTCGTCCCACTTTTAGACTGTTCCATCGTGAGTCTTTCGTAGTGACAGAACTCCAGAACGTAGTGGGGAAGGGAAAGGTAAAGATGGAACGGTTGATCTCCTTCCTATCTTCTCCCCACTAGCGATACAGTTGGAGAAGAAGGAACGGGGGGGCTAGCTTCTCCCTCCTTCCTTCACCCCTCGATTTCTGGCATTCTTCAACAGTTGAAAAGGGAAGCAGAAGAAGGGGAAGGATGAAAGGTCCAAAAGATAGTAAAACACAAGCAAAATAATATGAGTAAGACCTACTCATAATCTCTTTTTTTTCGGTGAGCCCAGCGACGACCGGACAGCCAAAAGCATTCACAAAGAAAGATAGCGTAATGAATCTCAACAAGGGAAGAATAAAATAGAAAAGAACGAGGAATGTAAGTATGGTTTTAAGATTAGAAGCATGTATTAGCACGTAATAAATTAGATAGCTTCTGTAAGCACCACCCATAATTATCTTTAGCTTTGTCATAACTGTCTCGCGCGCTTTTTATGTTGTTAGCTTGTATAAAACAGGATTTTGAAAAGAAAGGGAGGATATTACGTTTTCTACCGTAATTATTACTGCCTGCAAGTGCTTTCGTCACTTCTTGCCCATCCATAAATGCAAATAAAGGATGAGGATGGATGGACAAGAGGAAACAGGCAATGATTATGGCAATGATTTGGAAGGGGCCCCAAAGACAGGCTGGAAAGGGATAGTGAGGGAATCTTCAATCATCGTATCCTCCAAGTCTCACGGACAGGCTATCTGGCGTATTCTGCGTGATGTCTGGGCGGAAGATTTTCTTCATCATTCTTTGTTCTTTCACACCTTTCCCTTTCCCTTACCTTCATCGATTGGTCTAACCTGGTATGCGATAAAATGTCTGAGATACAAATGAATCCATCCCACAATCCCAGTAGCCTTTCCATGTCTTTCTATTTGCACGGTTTTCTCCATCTCTTTCTCCATCAGGTATGTGTGGTATGAAAGTTATCCAAAAGAAGCGTGTTACAGAAGATGTCCTCTCTCCTTTACCTATCTTATGTTTATTTCTTTATCCCTGTCTTTTCCATCCTAGTTTATTGAGTTGATTGTAGGAAGAAATGGTCAGGGGAGAGAGTGAAAGATAAAGAAAGGAGTATGAATTCGAGATCCTAAAGAAAAACAAACACATGGAAATAACAGAAAAGAGAGATTCCAAATGAAAAGATAATATGCTTTCCTCCCCATTTCCTTACCAAACTTCAACCGATTCAAAATGAAACAAACTTGACCCAAAAAAAGCCGTTAAGGGAAGGACGGTGATCAAGTTTTATCAAGTTTACAATGTTCACACCTTTACTTGTAATTTGTGTAATTCTGGACCGACTTTTTACAAACTAGCTTGTGCAATTTGCAACCCCCGAGCAATGTTTGATGTTTGCTGACATTGAAACGTACTCTGGGGAATTTGCTTTCCGGGGAGATTTGGCTGGAGTTACATTACAAGTTATACACATTTTGCAGATTAGTTTCTGAACTATGCCAAATTCCAACAAATATGGTTAACAATTAAGCATTTCACAAATTTCGCAAGTACATGTGTAAAAAGTGAAATTTCCAGATTTTACAAATGAATTTGCAAAATTTGTAAAATAGCAAAGTAAAATTTGTAAAATATCAAAAAAATCTGGCCCAAAATTACAAATTTTACAAATTCTAGTCTGAGAAATTAGCTTCCAGGGGAATTTGGTAGCAATTAAATTACAAATTTTACAAATTTTACAAATCAATTTGTAAAATTTGTAAAATATCAAAAAAATCCGGCCCAAAATTACAAATTTTACAAAATTTACAAATTAATTTGTAAAATTTGTAAAATTTCAATAAACATCTGGCCCGAAATTACAAATTTTACAAATTTTACAAATTCGAGTCTGAGAAATTTGCTTCCAGGGGAATTTGGTAGGAATTAAATTACAAATTTTACAAATTTTACAAATTTTACAAATTTTACAAATTAATTTGTAAAATTTGTAAAATATCAAAAAAAAATCCGGCCCAAAATTACAAATTTTACAAAATTTACAAATTAATTTGTAAAATTTGTAAAAATTCAATAAACATCTGGCCCGAAATTACAAATTTTACAAATTTTACAAATTCGAGTCTGAGAAATTAGCTTCCAGGGGAATTTGGTAGGAATTAAATTACAAATTTTACAAATTTTACAAATTTTACAAATTTTACAAATTAGTTTGTAAAATTTGTAAGATATCAAAAAAATATCCGGCCCAAAATTACAAATTTTACAAATTTTACAAATTAATTTGTAAAATTTGTAAAATTTCAATAAACATCTGGCCCGAAATTACAAATTGTACAAATTTTACAAATTTTACAAATTCGAGTCTGAGAAATTAGCTTCCCGGGGAATTTGGTAGGAATTAAATTACAAATTTTACAAATTTTACAAATTTTACAAATTAATTTGTAAAATTTGTAAAATATCAAAGAAATCCGGCCCAAAATTACAAATTTTACAAATTTTACAAATCAATTTGTAAAATATCAAAAAATCTGGCCCGAAATTACAAATTTTACAAATTTTACAAATTCGAGTCTGAGAAATTAGCTTCCAAGGGAATTTGGTAGGAATTAAATTACAAATTTTACAAATTTTACAAATTAATTTGTAAAATTTGTAAAATATCAAAAAAATCCGGCCCAAAAATACAAATTTTACAAATTTTACAAACTAATTTGTAAAATTTGTAAAATATCAATAAACATCTGGCCCGAAATTACAAATTTTACAAATTTTACAAATTCGAGTCTGAGAAATTAGCTTCTAGGGGAATTTGGTAGGAATTAAATTACAAATTTTACAAATTAATTTGTAAAATTTGTAAAATATCAAAAAAAATCCGGCCCAAAATTACAAATTTTACAAATTTTACAAATTAATTTGTAAAATTTGTAAAATAAAAAAAATCCGGCCCAAAATTACAAATTGTACAAATTTTACAAATTAATTTGGAAAATTTGTAAAATTTGTAAAATTTGTAATTTAATTCCTACCAAATTCCCCTGGAAGCTAATTTCTCAGACTCGAATTTGTAAAATTTGTAAAATTTGTAATTTTGGGCCAGATTTTTTTGAAATTTTACAAATTTTACAAATTAATTTGTAAAATTTGTAAAAAAATATTTTGGGCCAGATTTTTTTGATATTGTACAAATGTTACAAACTTATTTGTAAAATTTGTAAAATTTCAACAAACAATTGTAATTTAATTCCTACCAAATTCTCCTGGAAGCTAATTTCTCAGACTCGAATTTGTAAAATTTGTATAATTTGTAATTTCGGGCCAGATGGTTTTTGATATTTTCCAAATTTTGCAAATTTGTAAAATTTGCAATTTTGGGCCGGATTTTTTTGATATTTTACAAATTTTACAAATTAATTTGTAAAATTTGTAAACTTTGTAAAATTTGTAAAATTTGTAAAATTTGCAATTTATTTCCTACCAAATTCCCCTGGAAGCTAATTTCTCAGACTCGAATTTGTAAAATTTGTAAAATTTGTAATTTCGGGCCAGATTTTTTTGATATTTTACAAATTTTACAAATTAATTTGTAAAATTTGTAAAATTTGTAATTTCGGGCCAGATTTTTTTGAAATTTTACAAATTTTGCAAATTAATTTGTGAAATTTGTATTTTTGGGCCGGATTTTTTTGATATTTTACAAATTTTACAAATTAATTTGTAAAATTTGTAAAATTTGTAAAATTTGTAATTTAATTCCTACCAAATTCCCCTGGAGGCTAATTTCTCAGACTCGAATTTGTAAAATTTGTAAAATTTGTAATTTTGGGCCGGATGTTTTTGATATTCTACAAATTTTACAAATTAATTTGTAAAATTTGTAAAATTTGTAATTTTGGGCCGGATTTTTTTGATATTTTACAAATTTTACAAATTAATTTGTAAAAATTGTAAATTTGTACAATTTCTATTTTAATTCCTACCAAATTCCCCTGGAGGCTAATTTCTCAGACTCGAATTTGTAAAATTTGTAATTTTGGCAAATATGTTCTTTACTTAACAAATTTTACAAATTACTTTGTAATATTCGCAATTTCATTCCTACCAAATTCCACTGGAAGCCAATTTCTCACACTAAGGTTTGCAATTTTCATGCAATCAATTCCTACAAGATCTGCCTGAAAGCCAGCCCTCAGTGTGATGTTGATGCCCAGACCTCTCCCCGGCACATTATACATACTCTTCCCTCTTACGGGGGGGGGTCCTTATGGGGGTTGAACAGCTCCTTCACTTGACTGGTATTGGGCTGGATCTTCAGACTTCAACTTTTCGGGAAATCAAATTGTTTTCCACTAAACCCCCCAAAAAGTGGTCCACTTTTTGCAGGGGGGTCTTTGCAGCAACCAAGTTCCGAATGAAACTTTGGAAAGGCATCGAAGAGCTCAGATGTTGGCCTAGCCACAGGCGGCTTCTACCCGCATGGAGGCTCGTATATAATATGGCAACTAATTTTCATGGGGAACCCTTCAATGGTTTCGTGGACATGCATCCCCACTCAAGTACCTCTTTTACGGATCATAGGGAGGGCAAAATGGGTCAAAGTACATCCGTGGCAGGTACTTGCAGCCTCTGACGCTCTGCGTAGTCCAAAACCGACCTTTCACATGGGTTTTCACATGTTTGCCAACCTTTTTGAGTGAAAGTCCCAACAGGAGTGACGACTTTTGGTTTCCAGCTCAGTCCTTGAAGCGTTTTTGGGTTCGACACCCGCGAAAGGGTTCGCCCCCAGGCGGTGCGCGCGATCCCCGGCTGGGTGCCGGTGACCGGGTCCCAGCTGGGGCTCATCGGGTGCCTGGGCATCGGCGCCAACTTCTTGCTGCGCCTCGGGTTGAGACGACGCCAGAGGGAGGGGAGGGGAGGGGAGGGGAGGGGAGGGGAGGGGAAGGGAGGGGAGGGGAGGGGAGGGGAAGGATCAAAGCGAGAGAAAATCTTATAATCCCTCGTTGGCCATTTAAGTTTGTAGGTTCTGCCACCAGGTTTTTACAGGGATTATAGTAAGGCCTATATAAACCCTCAGAGCCATGCTGGTAGAACCATAAATCAATTGGTTTTGAGCGCTGCTCAAATGCCCCCTGTTTTTTTTTTTTTTTGCGGTGTGTGTATGTGTCTTGATTTTGTTTTGCTTGTTACAAACAAGCAAGCAATGGTTGGGGGAAGTATGATGGGTTGGGCGGTTCTAACCCAAAAAGAAGTTGTTTGTTTGAGTTTTAGGCTCGTGTCCTTTGTCACGTCCGTCGTAACAACTCTTGTCCCGTCTCTCGTCATAATTTTTATCACATCTCTCATCATGTGTCTCAACGCGCCTCACGTCACGACTCCGTCACATCTCCCGTCCTGTCTTTCATGGTCTTTCTCATGTCTCTAGCCACCTAGTTGGTTTGAGGGTTTCTTGTCGGAAGGGAGGACCAACTCGCTTCGTGAGTAGTTCCTGGACTTCGTACTTAATTGTTGAATCCCCAAGGTGGGGGGAGGTACAGGGAGCGTGTAATTGCGAAACGGTTTCTGAGGGATTTCTCCTTCTTGGATGTTCAACCAACGTCAAGTAAGTATATGTTATCCCCCCTTCTGGGATGTTCAACCCACGTCGGAAAGCTTATAGCTTATCCCCTTCTTGGATATTCAACCTGCGTCAGGTACTTATAGGTTATCCCCCTTGCCGGATGTTCAACCAGCGTTAGGTAAGTATAGGTTATAACTCCATGGACATGATTTTGTTGGCAACTGGGGTTAGCAAACCCCCTTTCCGGTTCTATCACTTGCTTTCTTTCACAAGTAGTCTCGCTTCCTGAGTCCATGGACTTCACACTTTTCCGGGTAGGCCATTTTTGTGGTAAACCAACGGTTCCTCTTTTTTTTTCTCGAGCAATCCGCTCAGGAATTGAGTAGTTCGACGACCAAGTAGGACCTCCCTTGATTCCGTAGGCTTTTTTTTCTTCTTCGCCCGCCTGACAGGTATTGCTTGCTGAAGGCTGGGGACCCGGACGGAGTTGCTTGCGTTGAGGTGCAGCGACCTGGACGGCTGGTGCCAGGCCTTGAGGGGCCCCAAGGCCCCAAACATAGATGGGATCCCATTTTGGTTGGTAGTTGCACCACCCATTTTAGGGCCTATTTCAGTGGGGATTGGGATGTTCATATGGCCATGGTTCAAAACCGTTTTGGGATCCCATTTTGGTTGGTAGGTGAATTTCACCACCCATTTTTAGAACCGATTTTAGTGGTTGGATTGGTTGATGTTCACTGGGGGTACGATTTGGATTTGACCCATGGCCAAATTTGTTTTCCAAATGCCAAAAGTGGCCTTGCTTCAGACTTATGTGACAAAGACATGGCGGGTGCTTTAGTTTAGGGATCTTTGGGGGGACGCGACCCCACAAGTTAATCCACTATGATGATTCATCCGGGGTCGACATCAGAACCTAACACCGTGACTACTGGTTCAGATCGTGGTTGTGCAAAATCTGGTTGAACCAATGTCTGGTGAGGCCAGAACCAGGTTGGTGGAATAGTGGCTTAAGCACGTTCAAAGGGCTTGGCCGACCCCTAGTACAGAAGCTTCTTGGCACCTGTGCTTTGGTTCTGTGGTTCTGTGGTTCTTTGGTTCTCTGTGTTTAGCATTACATTCGGTGGGTGCCCAAAGAACATTCAGTTCGTTTGCTGAAATGCTAGGACTCAGGTGTCAAGACAGGTTGTTAGGTGCGTATTCAGGCAAGCTCTGGCTGTAGGGGTGACCTTTTTGTTAGTACCCTCAGAACAAAATGCAATTGTGAGATTTGGGCATTTGCTAGCCATTTTACACTTGGTTGTTAAAGGGTTCCATTGATTACCCACAACAAAAGGGAAATGGAATCACCAAGTCGCCAAACAATGCTCCAATTCTTTTTACATCCAATGGGATCTGGTGTTCCCTCTTTTGTGGTCAAGGTTGCGGCACCCGAAAAGGAAACCCACCCATACATGTGGGTTGCGATATCGCATTAATGGGTTGTGAGGCTGAGGTGTTTAAGAACTTGTTGTTTTTCTCGGAGTCTTGCCCTAAGATTCCCTTTCCCAGGGACTTGATTTGTTTTTGCTGACTTCCCTTTCTTGGCGACTTCCCTCTAGCGGATCCCAGCGGATCGTCGAGTAGGCTTTCGGGGCCAGGCCTTCAAGTACGTGGATGCGTCGGCCACCTGCCCGTGAGCCGATCGGGATCCAAGGGATCTGAAGGCTCACGTCTCAAAGGGCCAGATATGGCCAGATGTCCCCTTTGTGGTGGTTTTCACCGGTTTTTGGCCCAAGGTGAGGGATGGTTTTCATTTTTGTCCATATTTAGTGGCCCCAAAAGGTGATCACCATTTAGTTCCAGGTCCTTTCGGCAACTGAGTAGGGCCAGATGTCCTCTTTGTGGTTTTACACATCACCGGTTTTTTTTTGGCCCATGAAAGGTGAGGGACACTGGGGTGGGGGGTGGTGTTTTTAAGGGAAACAAGTAGGGAGCCCTGACAAACCCATGTGGGATAGTTGTCGTTCTTTGGCTGTTGGGTCTGTTTATCGGTGGTAAAGCGGCTGCAAAAAAGTCACTTGTTTTACTACCAAGCATACTTTTCAAGGGGATTGAAACATGTGTCCTTGGAAAAAGTGCATACTATTGCACGCAGCACACGAGGTGATGTGAAGTTGCAGTTGGCGAGCTAAAGCGATTGTGATGTTTGATGCCGCCGACCACATGTTCGAACTTTTCGGGATCGACTAGAGTTGTTTGATCAACAGGAAGGGTATGGGGTGAATGCGCAGAACAGGGCGTGGGAGTGAAGTACTTGGACCTGGAAGAAAAGACTTGAAAGCTGATGATATTGTATTGCTCAAAATTATGGAGTGAAATCTGCCGCAAGCATTTCATGACAGAAGTTCTTCTGGGTCTAGGTACTTGTTTGTAGACTCCGTAGTTGGGCAGGGGAGAGCTGTAGGGTTCTCAGGGTTCCCCAAAGTTCCTTTGTCTTCCTTAGGCTTCCTTAGGCTTCCTTAGGCTTCTTTGGGGTTTGAAGGGGGAAACAAACGACCCCCCACCTGTGGAACCCGCTCCGCACCCGCCGCACAGTGCCCTTCGGCTCAACTCGTCTTCAACTTCGCGCGGGATGACGATGACTTCACCAGATCCCGCTGCGGCTCTCAAGGAGATCTCCAAAGAGGTCCAGGAGAGGTCAAAACGCCAGACTTCAGCTCCAAACCAATCCAATCCAAACCAAGGCCTTTGGACAGAGGCGAAGCTCCCACGGTTTGCCTGTGCATTCACGCCAGACTTGACGGACATGTTTCAGCTTCCCTCTCGGTGGATGAGCGGCTTTGGGGATTTGTACTGCTGGTTTTTGGAGAGGGTCGATGGGAACCACTTGCTCTCCTGCAGATTGTCATGAAACGCCCGAAAGCCTTTAGTATGAAGTTGAGCACGAAGCAAGCTCCTTTTGGGAGTCGGGTTCCGCTTTAATATTTATTATACATGGGTGTGCCGGACATGTTCCTTGACCCGAAAAAGCTTACGCTTGAACGATGGAATCACCACCCCATAGTTTTGGGTTACCACTAAAATTCAAGTTGGGTCTGAACCGGTTTGCAAGTTTGGCCTTGGTTTCCTTCATCTTCCCTTGCCAGCCAACGGTTACGACTGTTCAGGTCGGATCCGTTTGGAGATCATAGAGTTATAGACAGGCCTCCCCAAGAAAAGGCACCTGTTTTTTCTCTTGAGAGCCTGTTGTTTCGAATTGGTTTCCTTCATTTTCCCGCTCAACCAGCAAACGGTTACAACGTTCTGCAGCTCGAACATCGGATCTGTTTGGCCCAGAGAGTTGTAGACCTCCCAAGAAACATCCTGCTTTTTGGAGCTTGAGCCTTTGAGCCTGAGGACAAGTTCAATGAGGCGGGCATGGGCAAAGTCGAGGAGTTTGTGGACCTCATGGAGGACGTCCAGACCAAGGCGAAAGAGGGCCCGGGCGGTCTGCTGAAAGCGGTCCAGGAGCAGGTGCGGGTCGAACGTAAATGACTGCGGGGCAGATTTGTTTGGGTGTGTCGAAGAAAGGACTTCGGCGCAAGTTTGTCTGGGTGATTTTGTGTGTTTGTGGAACCACTTTGTTGATCTTTGTTATTGGTTTTAAAGGAAAGGACACCAACTATTTGTGGAGAACCCCAATTTTGAGACATCCATTTGGCGGAAAATGTTTTGGGTGGGCAACCACCTGCCCAAAGCGAATCGACCTGTTGAATCATGAAGCTTTGGTTTGCCTGACTTGGTCCATATTTAGTCAAGGTGCTGAAAGGTAAATCGCGTTTGTGTGTTTTTCTTTCTGGTCCTTTTGGCAAACAATATTTGGGTTGGAGAAAGACTCACTCCCTGAGTTCCCGGACCCTACTCACTTTTTGGGCAATCCACTCAACTCAGGAAGTGAGAAGAGCTTGACATTCAACTACCACAAAGAGGAGACTTTCAAGGGGAAAATGTTCAGTTGTGCCAGAATGTGGCTGGTGTCAACATAATAGAAACCCCAAATTGATTGGACTCCTTTTGGTTTCCCTTCAAACATCTCTGGAGATGTGAGATGGGGCCAAAATTGCTGTCATGCAGGTTTTGATTGTTTACAAATGAGCATCGTACTTTGTGTAATCATGGATGTAGTGAAATTATATCATGAACCTTTCTCGTCTCAGAGCCAAACGTCAATGGGTGAAATGAGTGCTTGCGTCATTTTACCGTCAGGTGGATGCCCTTCTGAAGAGCATTGACGCGGCCATCGCGGACCCTTCGAGCGTCGCTGGTGGTGGCGGCTGCATGGTCAGTTGGTACGGCGGAGAGGTCCTCGAGCAAGCCCTGGGAAGGGCCCCCTCCCCAATCCAAGAAGGGCTCCTGGACTCGCAAAAACACGACCCTTTGAAGGGGAATCACCATCGTTTGTTCGGGTTCCAGGTGCTTAGAAGCTTCTCAGGGGTAGGGTGGAGACTCCATGTATTCCCTGTTTTCTTTGGTGCATTTTGTTTGGATGTTAGGACTTCAGCTTTTTGCCAACAATTGGGTTTTCCATTCAACCACTCAAAGTTAAACTTTTAGCAGGGGAGCAGATTTAGCAGCCGAGTTTTGTGGCCCAGTACTTTTGTCTTGTGGCTTGCGAACGGTTTTGGAGGGCCCTGCGAGTGATGGATTCGCCCGAGAGGTCGCCGAGAAGTTGAAGGGCTTCAGCGGTGAGACCAAAGACCTCCTTGAGGACATGAAGAAAATGGCCTCGAAGGTGCCGTGCTTAGCCCGTTGATACTTTGCTTTTTTTGTGTTCTTCTGAATGAAACCAAAAGGGGAAAAGGGGAAAAGGGGGAGTTGTTTTTTTCCCCCAAGGAAACCAAAAGGGGATGGGAGTTTTTAGTTCTTGTTTCCCAAAACAAAACCAACAGTAGATGTTTGATCATTTTGCCCCATGCCTACTTCACACCAACTACCAACGCAGGTGTGATACATCTTGCGATGTGTATGTGTGTGTTTGTCAAGGCTTGGGCGTGCAGCACGGCCATTCTGCGATCCTAGCTGGGTTTGTAGTTTTTTGAGCCCACCAAGTCTGTTATGCACTGCTGGCTGCCTGTGGCTGGTTTTCGTAGACCATCAATAGTTTGCCAAATTCGTGGGACTCCAGCGACTGCCACCGTGGCTGCTGTGAGTTTGAAAGAAGCGAGGCGTGCCTTTTTGTGGCTTTAAAGGAGAACCGAAGCGTGGCAAAGGGCATATATTCACAACAGCCCAATTGTTCACCGGGTAATTCTGAACCGAACTACCTACTAAACTTGCCCTTTTGGACTCGGTTTCGGGCGCTGCTCATTTGTCAGCAGCCATTTAACGGTGCCAGACTTGGCTTACCTTTTCAACCTTCTGCCGTTTTGGGTTTCCATCATTTTTCCTTCTACGGCAACTAACAGCTTTTTGCTCGGGGGAGGTTGACTTCATACCCTAGAACAGGAGGGTACTTGGAGAGGTTCCCGTTGCATGCTCGAACTGGCCGTAACTACCCGTTATGATGGAAATCCCCATCACTTTTGGGCAACACCGACCCATGTTTAAAGGTGCCACCCTCAGACGACCGAAGGTACATTCCTCCCCCCCTCCCCCCGTTATTTCAGGTTGCAATATCAATCCTTATGGCTTGCATATTGTTTTTTCACTATGCTTCTTGGAGGGGGGGGCGACCTGCAGTCTCCTTCAAAGAGCCAGAGCCTAGTGGGCTCACCCCAGAAAAACCTTCTCGAGCCGACGGCTTCGGCTCGAGCAGCTCGCTCGCGGCTGGCCAGGTGCAGGGGCCCATGAAGGACCTCTCCGAGGCCATGGAGAAGGCGGTGACGCAGCTGGAGGGCTGCCTGAAGAGCCTCGCGAAGCTGCCGAAGCTCATCAACCAGGACCTGAGGGCTCCCCGATCTTTTTTGCGCACTTTATGGGTTGGGAGAAATCCCAGGCATTTTTGTACGAATTGAACCCGCAGAGAGCTGAACATTTAACTGTTAAAGCTCTTAGGGGGATTGCTACTGTGGATGGTGGCAAGATCCAATTCGCACCACCTAAGAAACCAGGGGAAACCATAACGTTTGTTGGTTTGTATGGGAATCATCATTCTAGGGTTCTTAGGTGGTGCGGGAATTTGTCCATCCACAGTATTACCTGATCTTTTGCACTTGTTTGGGTTGGGATAAATCCCAGGCTTTTCCGAATTGAACCCGCAAAGAGCTGAACACTGACAACTCTTAGCAGGGGGTTCAACAGCAAAGTATTTGTAGTTCCCTGTGGAACCTCCCATCCCATCGATTTTCATGAGCAAAACTCCTTGGTGCTCAAGGTATGAAAGCAGGTTCACAGCTTGAAGTGGGCTAGTTGGGTGATTCCTTCTCTATTCACCCTCCAGAACTAGAGCTTCAAATCCCCAAGCCACCATAGTGGGGGAAAAAAAACCCGAGGCTTCTCATTATTTCGGGTCAGGGGTTGACATCATACCCTGGTATTTGGAGTGGCGGGGAACCCACTGGAAGCTTTCCCAAGAACACCAAATCATGGGTTGCACTCTTTTTGGGGGGGTGCCCTTTTCAGGTTGGCTTACAAGGGAGCCAAGAGGAGCGCCACCATTTTGGGGGTCACCCAACTTTTGCAAAAATCCAATTCGCTGGGTTTTCAAGTGAGCAC